AAATGTATTTTTGATGTGACTTACACATTTTTAAATGTTTGTTCTAATATTGCTGTTTTTATATTAACCACTTGCCAACTGCGCTATAGCCGAATGACGGTTGTCCAGTTCTGGGAGGGTGTCATATGACGTCCTCCCAGAAAGCGCCCTAAGGCGCGCCCCCAGCAGCGCGCACATGGTGATCTCCATGATCGCTGTGTCCTACGGATGCAGCTGATCACATCATAAGGCAAATGGCCAATCACAGCGACCTTTTACCACTTGATCAGTGTAGCAATCATGCCCACAAAGATGGATGCGGTTCAACCATTTTGGCTTCTAACTCCATCTTGGCAAAGGATCCTCCATCTTGTACAAACATATCCCCCTCATTCTCATTCTTCCTCTCTGTTCAGCCACAGTGACATATGGCCTGTGTGTTGGCAGTGTCACAGGAGTCCAGAGCACAGCAGGAAGCCCCGAGCACAGCAGGAAGCCCCAAGCTATAAAAACCCCAAGGGAGCTGGGGACTCGCTGTCCAAAGAACCTGTGCAATCTAGAACATCGTAAAAAGATAACCCAAGCCTTCTCCTGAGTTCAAAGACAGTCCAGAGGAGTAGAGACTAGATAACACTTTTAAAATTCATTTTTCCCCTATGTCTTATATCTTGAAATATGAGAGACTTACATAAAAACCAGGTATATCTTCAGATTGGCCATGAGAAGACAAACAGTTTGATAGGTCACACTCCTTGACTGGAATACCTAGGACAGCAGAAAATTACATCTCTTGAACCCTTTAAATATGTATTTCATATTTCATATGTAACCGTTCCTCAGATGTGTCTGCATATTAATCTACCCGCGGGTGGAATGTTACTTGTGCCTAGGAAAAGTTATTAGCCAAAATATGAGCTAGGAGAGATTTTGGCTCTCGTTTGGGTCTCCGCCCAGACCATTCCTCCCTAAATGAAGCATTGGTCCTTGGCTTTAGAGACACTCCCTGCTGGGAAATTACAAAATAGGCTGTCAGGCTTAAGAGAGAAAGTTGAAGAAATCTCCCTTTTAACATCAGAACCAACCTGGGAGACGTGCCTTTTTGCTTTGAAACCTGATCTGCAAACCCAAGGCAGATTGGCAAGTACTTTAACTCTTTAACCTCCTTTCTGTTACCTCTTTGCTGTGCTGTTTGTTCTCTATATATTTATATATATATTGGTTACATCTTTTTTCTGTAAATATTTTTATTGCACCCTTTTGACCTTTTAGTAATAAATCCTTCTTTCTGAAAGTGTTGAACTGTTTCTATAGCTCTTTATTGTAACATACGGTGTTTGTTTAACCCTCTGTATAACCTGTCTGCAGTGACAGTGCAATACAGACGATTATCTCAACCATTATAGTGTTATTGCTGGTATTGCCGAGTTTCCTCTTTCTCTGTACAAAAGGAGGTGGTGGCAGTGTGAAGGGTTAATTGCGTAATTAACCTGACCCAGTAACAACCGCATTCAGGCTGCCAGTACATCAATTGGAGGTCCAGTGAGCTGGAAAACCATTCTACAGGGTGCAGCTGGGCGTGGCATTGTTACGCACGTGACATCACGGTTTCAGATTGGCTAGTCCTTCGGTCATGAGTTTGGTGAGAAGGTCAGGGGTCTGATGCCGCGATCGTCACAATCAGCTGTGTCCAATGACACAGCAGATCACAGAGGACATCTGCCACCTATCAGTGCCCAGCAGTGCCTCCCACCAGTGCCCATCAGTGCCACCTATCAGTGTCGCCCATCAGTGTCGCCTATCAGTGCCCATCAGTGCTGCCTATCAGTGCCCTATCAGTGCAGCATCATCAGTGCTGCCTATCAGCGCAGTGCCGCCTCATCAGTGCAGCCGTACATCCCATCAGGAAGGAAAGTTACCTGTTTGCAAAATGTTATCAAATAGAAACAAAGAAAAAGAAAAACTGTTTTTTTTGCTCTTTTTTTGTTTATAGTGCAAAAAATAAAACACCCAGTGGCGATTAAATAACACTAAAAGAAAGCTCTGTGTGTGGAAAAAAAAACAATACAAATTTCAAATGGGTACAGTGTTGCATGACCACGCAATTGTCATTTAAAGTGCAACAGCACAGAAAGCTGAATATTGGCCTGGGCATAAAGGGGGTAAAAGTGCCAGGTAGCCAAGTGGTTGTAACTTAAACTGAGGGAACAGCCATTCAGATTCTTAATTGATGGAATTAATTGATTTCATTGAGGCTGCATACCTGAGCAAGGAGATTTTGAGCATTTTTTTAAATACGCCTGGAAAAAAAAAAAAAAAACGCTAAAAAAAAAAAAGACTCATTGAAGTCTATGGGACCAAAAATGTAAAATTTTGCCTCAAAGGTAGCGCATGTATCTTTTAATACATGGAATTTTGGATAAAGAGTGTTTTGGAGTTTTGAGCTACAAAATGCTCTGTGAATTGCGCTTGAGTGGGCCGTATCATAAAATCACAATCAAAAGAAGCAAGGCTTAAATGTATATGGATTTATTATGGCTACTGTACAAAATTACAAACTAGACATAGAAACAATATGAAGGTGTCCCAAAGAACAGAACAGCCTGTGGTACAAATAGAAAACAAAACGACGATACTTAAACAAAAATGAGCTGCATGGCCAAGTTGCCAGAAAAAAACCTTTACTGCACCAATACCACAAAAAAGTTTGGCGTGTCAAGGTGTTGTTGGGCATATTGTAACCAGCCTTTTTTTTGGCATCGGCGCAGTAAAGGCTTCTTTCTCACAACTCCACCATGCAGCTCATTTTTATTCAAATATTGTCATATTGTGATCCTTTTAAATGTAAAAAGCCACAAATGGGCAAAATTAACCTTTCATTGCCATTTTAACCTGTGTGTCAACTTGTGTGTCTGTACCAAGGCCAAACATTCCAGGGTATGTAAACTTTGGATCAGGGACATTTGGTTGATTTCTGTTGTCATGATGATTTAAAAAGGAGCCAAACAACTATGTGATAATAAATGGCTTCATGATCACTGTGCTTAAACAAAAGACATGGTATGGTCAGTCATATTTTCAATATCAATGCCAAATTTGCACTATTTCTGCCAGGGTATGCAAACTTTTGAGCACAGCTGTATATATAGATATAGATATATATATATATCTATATATAGATATATATATATTGTTTGAGATTTTATATATATATATATATATATATATATATATATACAGTGGGGATCGAAAGTTTGGGCACCCCAGCTAAAAATTTGTATTAATGTGCATAAAGAAGCCAAGGAAAGATGGAAAAATCTCCAAAAGGCATCAAATTACAGATTAGATATTCTTATAATATGTCAACAAAAGTTAGATTTTATTTCCATCATTTACACTTTCAAAATAACAGAAAACAAAAAAATGGCGTCTGCAAAAGTTTGGGCACCCTGCAGAGTTAATATCTTGTACTGCCCCCTTTGGCAAGTATCACAGCTTGTAAACGCTTTTTGTAGCCAGCCAAGAGTCTTTCAATTCTTGTTTGAGGTATCTTTGCCCATTCTTCCTTACAAAAGTCTTCCAGTTCTTTGAGATTTCTGGGCTGTCTGTCACGCACTGCTCTTTTAAGGTCTATCCATAGATTTTCAATTATGTTGAGGTCAGGAGATTGTGAAGGCCATGGCAAAACCTTCAGTTTACGCCTCTTGATGTAATCCCCTGTGGATTTCGAGGTGTGTTTAGGATCATTATCCATTTGTAGAAGCCATCCTCTCTTTAACTTCAGCTTTTTCACAGATGGCATCAAGTTACCATCCAAAATTTGCTGAAATTTTATTGAATCCATTTTTCCTTCTACTCGTGAGATGTTCCCTGTGCCACTGGCTGCAACACAACCCCAAAGCATGATTGATCCAACCCCATGCTTAACAGTTGGACAGAGGTTCTTTTAATTAAATTCTGTGCCCCTTCTTTTCCAAACGTACCTTTGCTCATTCCGGCCAAAAAGTTCAATTTTAACCTCATCAGTCCACAGAACTTGTTTCCAAAATGCATCAGGCTTGTCTATATGTTCATTTGCAAAGTTCAAACGATGATTTTTTTGTGGTGAGGACGTAGAAGAGGTTTTCTTCTGATGACTCTTCCATGAAGACCATATTTGTACAAGTATCTCTTTATAGAGGAATAGTGTACCCCAACTCCAGTGTCTGCCAGATATTTCTGGAGGGATCGTGCAGTCAAACGTGGGTTTTGAATTGTTTTTATCACAATCCTGCGAGCTGTTCTGTCTGATATTTTTCTTGGTCTTCCAGATCTTGCTTTAACTTCCACTGTTCCTGATGACTGCCATTTCTTAATTACATTCCGAACAGAGGATATTGACATCTGAAAACGCTTTGCTATCTTCTTATAGCCTTCTCCAGCTTTGTGAGCGTCAACTATTTTCAGTTTCAGTTTTCTTGACAACTGCTTAGAAGAACCCATGGTGCTGATTGTTGGGGCAAGGTCAGATGAGTCTGGGCATTTAAAACCTTTGAGATTGACATCACCTGGTCTTCCCAGACGATGATTGAGAATAATCCATGACACTGGCATGTCTCAGCTTTGCAAAGGGGGCAGTGCATGCTATAAATTCTGCAGGGTGCCCAAACTTTTGCAGACGCCATTTTTTTGTTTTCTGTTATTTTGAAAGTATAAATGATGGAAATAAAATCTAACTTTTTTTGACATATTATAAGAATGTCTAATCTGTAATTTGATGCCTTTTGGAGATTTTTCCATCTTTCCTTGGCTTCTTTATGCACATTAATACACATTTTTAGCAGGGGTGCCCAAACTTTCGATCTCCACTGTATATAAAATCTCAAACATTATTGGTTTTGGAGTCTACTCTGCAGGTAAATATCTGCTTATGTATACCATTTATTTCAGAAACTTCTGTAAGAAACAGTAATGTTGTCAAGCTTGTGGCTTAATGATCTAATTGATCTTGTTTTACACTTTAATTGATCTTGTTTTACACTTAGGTATGGCATTGCTGGAAGTGTCAATGTGACTGGGGATGAGGTGAAGAAACTGGATGTGCTATCCAATGATCTTGTGATTAATATGCTGAAATCCTCATATTCTACATGTGCTATGGTTTCTGAAGAAAACAAGGAAGTTATTATAACTCCAAAAGATATGAGGGTCAGTTATTATTTTCATGTATAAAATGCATTATATAAGGTGTGGGAACACTATTCTTCTTTAATATTGTGGTCTCTTGTCCCTCTTCCTACCCCTCCTTCCTTGGCTTCCCCTACCCAGTTTTATTGATTATCCTGATCACTCTTGTGGCTCTCTCCTTGATTGTTAACGTGGTTAGAAGTGTGAATTTCCGATAATTTGCCTGTCTTTCCTGCCATCCTAGGCTTTTGTTTCCATTTTTCCTATTTGATTGGCTTATGTTTACCTAGATGATTCCTGTCCTCATTATGACATAAGACTATTGCTTCGTACACACGATGAGAATATCGGACGAACGATCGGCCGTTTTTTTTTCACCTGCTAGTCTCACATCGAAAGTGAAAGGTTACTAAAGATACAAAAAATCTCCTATGAAAGAAAAGTATTGTGTTGTATTTGTATTGTATTTTCAGATGATTACTGTACTGATTAAACGAAAATCGTACGATCTGGTATTGTACGAGAAAAAGTTTTGCGCTTGTCCCTTCGGATATTGTCGTAGAAATTTTCGTGATCGGCTCTCGAAAGCTGTGTACTAACGATCCAATTATCGGACGATCGGTCCTCGTACGAAAATTTTCGTACGATTTTCTTATAGTGTGTATAGGGCATATGTTGCACTGGTGATATCCTGAGATTCTATTTTTATTCTTGATGATATCTTTGTCCTCTTTACCAAATACTTTCAATAAAAATATTGGAAAGTAAAATGCATTATATAAAATTCAAGTTGCTCAGTGACTGGGATGACTTGCTACTCCTGAGATCTCTTTTGATTAAAGTATAACTAAAGGCAAAACATTTTGTTTTTAGTTTTGGACAGAGTGGAGAGAAATTAGAACGTTTGTCAGTTTTTATTGCTGTCTGTGCCCCCATTAAAAGGATTCATCCTCTCTATTTGTCCTGTTTACCATTTTCATTGAAAGTAAAAGAAAATCCCAAATTTTGGGTTGTCCCCAGAAAAGTAATAGAGTGGAAATCTTCCAATGGAGACACTGGTTCTGGTGACCAGGGGGTTGACAAGAAATTCCCTTAATTTGCAGGGATTTCCTCTCACTTCCTGTTTGGTTATGGGAAAGGAAGTGAAGGGAAATATCAGCAATGGGACACAGACAGTGAAAAATAAATCTGACACAGGTCATAACCCTCCTTTACTTTTATTATTAATCCCTTGGTGCCGGCGCCTCCTGGCCCTTTAAGGGTTTCAGAAGCCGGGAAGCAGGATGGGGTTTTAAGGTCATGTGACCGTCGTGATTCGCCATCACAGTGGTCACATGAACTGGAAAGGTCCCGATCAAAAGTGGAGATTGGGACCTTTCCGTGAGTACCGTACATATGTGCTGGGAGCACGCAGGATGCGCGCTCTCAGCACATATGTTTTTCTTAATTGCACGCAAATGTGTGGCCGCTCGGCATCAAGGCCCAGACGCCAGGAGGCCACACATTTGCATGCGGCTGGCGCCAAGAGGTTGAATAAAACCCATCAGGAAATGTATGTGCTGCCTTTGCTGAACTTTTTTTTTAGAATGCTAGTTCCTGTATGTCTTTTGTTTGGAAGGAGCTATCAGCCATCTGTCACTAAGCCAACTGTCTTACAAGCTCCCCACCCCCACCACTCTTTCACCATTCAGCTGGGTAACCATGTACAATAGAACAGATGTCCTAGACACCCAAGACTTGTTAAGGTTGGGTAAAGAGACTGTGCTCACACCTAGAAGTAAAAGATTAGGACAATATTCAAAGGGACCTGAATTGTTCTCTGGAATAGGAGGAGTTATTCTGGCAATAGATGACTAGAATTTTGAACAAACATTTTTGGGAAAAGAAGGTTCTAAAATTTGCTCATTTTCCTTATCATTAGGGGGTCAAATCAATGTTTGTTTTTAAACACAGTTATAAGAAAATTCAAAGGAACAGGATGGAAATTTTTTCTTGAACGAACAAATTTCTAACAGCATTTATGGTTTTCATTTGGCAAAGTCCAATCATTCTGAAATCAAATGTGAAAAGAAAACTAAATTTTTCAAATGAATGTTCGAGTAATTGTTTGAATGTTCTGAGAATTTTTATATGAATTTTCGGAAGACTTTTTTAACCGCTTCCTGTCCCCCCCATAGCAGAAGTACTGCTACAGGGAAGCACGGGTGCGCAAAATCACGTATATATACGTGATATTGCATTTTTGGGTAGGGGGCGCATGTCTCAACCAGTGATTACTCACCAGCATCCGATGATTGCCAAGCATCTCCGACGGGGGGGGGGGGGGAAGCTCATGCACAGTATATCCTAGTATATATACTGACATTTTTAAACGCTATAACTTAAATGTAAACCAATTAATTTACACGTATTGGGATTTTTTTTTTAGCAAAGACATGTCACAAAATACATTTTGGCCTAAATATTTAGATTTTTTAAAATTTCTTTACTGGACATGTTTATTAGCAAAAAGTCAAAAATATTGTTTATTTCTCAAAATTATCGGTCTTTTTTTAGCGCAAAAAAATAAAAACCGCACAGGCGATCAAATACCTTTGAAAGAAAGCTCAATTTGTGGCAAAAAAAGGACATAAATTTCATTAGGGTGCAGCATTGCCACGCAATTGTCAGTTAAAGTGACGCAGTGCCGTAATGCAAAAAATGGCCTGGTCAGGCGGGGGGGGGGGGGGGGGGGTCAGGGGGGGGGGGGGGAAGTCCTCTGTAGGGCAAGTGGTTAAAGAATTATCGTTTGAAATTCTAACGTCTACGGCCAACTTTGGGGAAGAGTTTATAGCCCATAGCCAGAGGAGTAAACTCACATGTGAATGTGCTGCAGTCATGAGCCAAGCTGCAGCCCCATTGACTTAAATGGCTGAGGTTGACAGGTAATTGCTCATACAGTGATTCCCTTTAAATGATTGGCAATGGATGCTGAATGATTGGTAATGGACATGAACTGTCTGCATCCAGGGCTGATCATCCACAGATAATCACTGCATATGTGATCAGTTGCAAATAGCTGCGGGAGTGTCAACCCCCCATTGCTTTCAATGGTGCCACCCACATGGAATCCCTGCTGGATCTCCCATAGATAGTCCCAAATGGCACCATTCGCAAGTGTGAACGGGATGTTTTCAAACCTGCCTATATCCCTGTACTTGAGGAGTATGTTGTGTGTTAATGCCGACTATGATTCCTGACATACTTTGGCCAAGAACAAGTATGGGAAAAATCACTTATAAAAGACCTTCCAGAACACCGTACACTATGTAATTATAAAAAATAAAACTTGAATATCATCTTGAATGCTTAAATACAACCTTTCTTATACAATACCTTTCGTGTTAGAAATATGGAGGCTACCACTACTGGCCTCCTGAAAATTTTTTGAGCTGTGCCTGGCTTTTACATTTCTGAGTCACTGACCCAAAACAAGCAGATTGCCAATTCAAAGGAATATCAGAATCCCTCTCTGTAATCTGAGTCAGTTACTCCCCAGATACTGAAGCCAAAACATCAGCATAACTAACAATCAAGGAGAGGTCAGAATGGCAACCTCCATCGTTCTCTTGGGAATTTTTAATGGGAATACATATTAGTTTGAAAAATGACCATTACCCTCACATGCAGCTGTATTTTTGAATTCCAGGCCATGCCAGTGTGACTTATTTATTGTCAATAAAAGTGTTATCACCACCCTGGATCTAATCAGCGATCTGATAGTCAGATCAATGCCATTGCCCATAGAGCATTAACATTTCTCAGACAGGTGTTTTCCTTCAAAGCAGATTCCATTTAATTCCATTCACAGTACTGAGCAATACATTTTAACATATTGGTGCAATGTGCTCTCCAGTTGTTAAACACTGTGAAAACCACACCTATAACCATAGGTTAACACTTACTTTGACTCAGAGGAACAAGTGCTATGTGTGTTTATTATATGCAGAGACTGGAGTCCTATCTATCTGAGTCACAGAAATGGGTTGCAGCAAGTTTAGACGCTGGTTCCTGAAGTGGCCACTTGCCTCTTGCAAGTAATAATTTACACCAAGGAAAGGCCTGCATATCCAGTCCAACAGCCTGTAGCTGGTATCTGAACCATTCACTCATCAGAAACAACACCAGTTTGTGATGTACCCAACAAGAGTTTAGTAGCACATGTCCTTGTGTCTCTCCCAGGACAACAAAAACACACCATTTCCATATGAAATGGCATTTATTTATGTACAATTTCTGCTCTTCATGGTGATGTTTCTGTTCAAACCTATTCTTTGGAGGCTTGGGGGAGCAATGCATTTCTCAACACAATAAACTGTACTGGTAGATAAAATGTAAAGTGTATCTCTATTAAACAGCTTTGAATTTTTTTTTGATAGCATGAGGAAGGATTAGAAGTCCTGTCTTGTTTTATTGCATTTGGAGGCTCCGTCAGAGAAAGCCCTTCACTTCCTGTCCAGTAGGAAAAGGTTGTCCCCAGAAAAGGAAGTGAGGGAATATCTCTCTAACAGCAACACACACAGAAGTAAAATGTTTTTTTTTAAAGCTTATTTACTTATATAGCGCTGTCAATTTACAGAGCGCTTTACATACATATATTGTACATTCATATCAGTCCCTAACCCTCAAGGGGTGTACAATCTAAGGTCCCTAACTTACATTCGTACATACACATACTAGGGCCAATATAGACAGGAGACAATTAACCGACCAGCATGCCTTTGGAGTGTGAGTAGGGAAATGCTAAATCCTCTTTTTATTATTTTCTGTTTCCCTCTTGCAGATTCTCGCTCACTTGCTGTCTGATTGATAAACGGTTGTCCCCAGAAAGTGAGGGGAATCCCTCTAACGGAGCCACAGATAGTAGTGACACCTGACAGGGGTTCTACCCTTTCCCTGTTCTATACAAAACTTATAAAAAAAAAAAGTTTTGAGTATAGATGCACTTCAAGGCCTTTGAACTATGTAAGTCTGTAGACTGCAGACAGGCAATTACAACCAAACCGCTCTCTTCGATCCTCCCAAGACCTTCTGCTCTCTAGTTCCTGTGTCACCTCCTCCCATGCATGTCTCCAGGACTTCTCCCGATCTTCTCCCATCCTATGGAACTCCCTACCCCAATCTGTCCGGCTATCTCCTAATCTATCCACCTTTAGACGATCCCTGAAAACCTTTCTCTTTAAAGAAGCCTATCCTGCTTCTGACTAGTAAACTGCCTTTTATTTCCTCTATCAGCTCATCCCCCCACAGCTATTACCTTTTGTATCTCTCAACCCCTCCTCCTAGATTGTAAGCTCTAACGAGCAGGGCCCTCTGTTTCCTCTTGTACCAAATTCTATTGTAACTGTCTACCTTCATTTTGTAAGGCGCTGCGCAAACTGTTGGCACTATATAAATCCTGTATAATAATAATAATACAAGCTAACCATTGCTTACAATATGCCTTCAATTCTCTTACCCATTTAATTCGGACTATCCAATCTATTTAGGGACCTTGTTATGGGCCAGCACTGGATTTGTATGGTCTGTGATAAATTCTGAGTCATAAAACAAGTTCTTTAAAACTTTGCAAACACTGTCATTTTTAGTAAACATTTAGTATGGAACCACACTGACAAAACAGTGAATGGTTACTAATGTATTACAGTACAGAATGTAGTAATTTTTCCTTTATTAGGAGTAAAGGAAATGTTATATTTCACTGCCTAAATATAATGTCCAATATAAAGCAACAATATATACAGCACCTGTATGAGAAAATAGATTTTTAAAGTGCACTTCTGCCCAAAATTATGGATATTAAAGTATTCACATACTATTATCAATCAGCAACAGAGCATTAAAGCACGTTATCCCTGCCCTCTCTAAATGATTGTAATGTCAAGTGACTCAATCCCAAAGACCAAAGCAAGACTCTAAAGTCCAGCATCTGCTAGTTTGTAACAGTTTACAAACACTTGCTGTTTGTTTACATCAGAAGACTAGTAGACTGCCAAGATTTCAGTGCCTCTGTTGTAAACTTTGAAGATCAGTTTCTCCACAATAGCTACAGATACAGAGATAAATGATGGTTTGTTTCAAAGAGCTTTTACTGCTTGTTCTGAATATGTAAATATTCTAGATTGCATTGGGGTTTATTTACTAAAGCTGGAAAGTGCAAAATCAGGCTCAATTCTGCATATAAACCAATCAGCTTTTAACCTCAGCTTGTTCAATTAAGCTTTGGCATTAAAACCTGGAAGTCAATTGGTTTCTATGCAGCAGTGAGCATGATTTTACACGTTACAGCTTTAGTAAATAAACTCCACTGTCTGGACACAGGTTCACTTCACTTCGCATATTTGCTGCTGCATTAAAAATGGCATGTTCCCTGCAGTGAAAGCTACAGTATATTTCACTTATATCACAAATTCAGCATGTTCTCCCTGTTAACTGCAAAATACCAGTTTCAATGCAATGGCTGTGCTACACTGGGGGGGGGGGGGAGGGGTAAAAGCCACAGCAGAGATCCAATGACCCACATATCAGGGACATGAGCTGTGCCACAGCCCATTCATACTCCTCTTTGCACGCTATCTCATGCAATATTATGCGTTGTCTCATGTGGATAGAATAGAGATTTTATTTTGTTGTCTGCATCCTGTTAGGGAAATTTTTCCTTCACTTCATGTCCCAAAGGCTTGTAAACTTTTAGATTCCCATCACTTTCTGTGCTGTTGACCAGGGGTGGACTGACAACTCATGGGGCCTGAGTTTCCAAATGGTTAGTCCGCCCCTGCTGTTGACATTGTCCACCAAAACAATAGAGAAAAGTGAATCTCCCCAACAATACACAAGCAAAGGTACAGGCAAAAAATTAAATGCTGTAATCATTTCCAAAACTAACAGAAAGTTTTGCTATAGAAACACTAAAATTTTCAGTTTTTGGGAAGCATAAATCCAAATAAGGGGTTTATTCCTAAAGCCTAGTACACAGGATCAGAAAATCACATGAAAAATACCGCTTTCAAAGCAATCGTATAATAATCTGAACCTTAGTACACAGCTTTCGTCCAAAATTATTTGAAGGGACAAGCATGAAAATGTTTCTCGTACAATAACAAATTATACCATTTTCATTTAATCAGCACAAAAATACAATACAAATACATTTCATCACTTCCGAATTTTTATTCTGTCTATATGAATTTTCGTAACTTTAGTTACCTTTTCACTTTCTAGCATGAAAAAAAAAAAAGGACCTTCATTTGTCCTATATTCTCATCGTGTGTACGGGCTTTATATAACTATAAGCCCTGAAGGTAATGTTTTAATGGGGCCAATTGTTAAATCCTAAACTTCACTGCTGGAGAAGAATTACGTGTTCAGGTTTTGCCAGTGCACATTATTAAACAAAACCAGGAGGTGGCGCCATTGCTTTAGCAGGTAATAGGCTCAGTGTACATAGGATAAGGATTCTTTTTTTAGGTTATCCAGTCCAGTGAAAATTAAAAATAAGTTGAATGACTGAAAAGGATCATTATATTTGTGTAAAACCTAATGTAATCTGAAGACTATTATTTATTCTTATTATTATTCTTATTATAATACAGGATTTATATAGCGCCAACAGTTTGTTCAGCACTTTACAATATAACGGGAGACAATACAGCAACAATACAGTTCAATACAAGAGGGATAGGAGGGCCCTGCTCCTTGGAGCTTACAATTATTTTCTCAAATATTTGATTTTATTATTTACACCATCATCTATCTATGTGGTCTTGTGCATTTTAAAGTGAGCATATGTATGAAGAAGGCAAATTAACATTGTTCCTGAAAGGCAGACACCTAAAGTTTCACAGCCCTTGAAAATCCTATGCAGATACCGACTTTGTGGATTTATGGGCACACCTTGCTTTCCATATGAAATTGCTTGGGCCTTGCTAGTTGCCCATCTGGTACCAAACATTGCATGGTGGGAGGCAGGAGTGTATGACCTGTGCCCAGATATTATTATTATTATATTATTATTATACAGGATTTATATAGCAGTGTTTTACAAAATGAAAGTAGACATTACAGTTACAATACAAATTGGTACAAGAGGAAACAGAGGGCGCTGCTCGTTAGAACTTGCAGTCTAAGAGTATAAAGCAATTTTCCTGGGGCTCCACTGATGAATCATTGTGGCAAGAGGGAACTATGAAGATAAGAGCAAGTAACTTATGGTGTCATGTATTAGCTGCATTTCAATTCTTTACTAATCACACAGGTTATAAAACCAATACACATTATTTGCTTTTATTGCAATGTCATAAATCCAGCTTGAATATATACATTTATTTTATCTCAAGTGATTGCTTGTATCTATTAGGCCACATTCATGGGGCAATGATAATGATTTTATTATTATTATTATTATTCAGGATTTATATAGCTTCAACAGTTTGCACATCACTTTGCAATATAAAGAAAGACAGTACAGTTACAATACAATTAATTACAAGAGGGTTAGGAGAGCTCACAATCTAATGTGGGATGGGGGCAGGTGGGATGAATGTTGCAGGCTTATCAGTAAGTTGAGCTGGAAATTTTTCTCTTTTGTTGTTTGGCATGTGTCACCCTTTTGTGTGCTCCTTGCTGTGAAGGCCAGTTATGGATTGGGGCAGTGGCCAATTGTTTGTGCTGTTGGTGTGCTGGTGAGGGGATGCACTGGACATCTTGCCTGCCATTGTGCTAATTCTGGGTGCTCCCCTTTAAGGAGGGGTGGGCTCCCTCCAGGGCCACCTGCCCTCAGTCTATCCATTATGATACATGTGCTTATGCTATGGAGGCTCTCAAAACTTACAGAGTTAGGCTTTAGGCTGCAGAATATTGGGGTGCCGTGAAGAGGCTCTGCAGCTTACGCATGTATTTGCAAATTAGTGTGAAAAGCTAAACCCCTGTTTTTAAATCAAACTGTTAGACAGGAAAATTCAGTTGGTTGCAGGCTGGTCAGTAAGTTGATCTGGGAATTTTTCTCCTTTGTTGTTTGGCATGCATCACCCTTTCGTGTGCTCCTTGCTGTGACGGCCAGTTATGGATTGGGCTAGTGGCCAATTGTTTGCACTGTATAGTGTGACCAGGCCATTTTCTTTTTACAAGGTGCTGTGTGCAGGCAGCCTATTGAAGTTGTTTTGTCCATGTAGTTGCATGGACACAGTCGCTTGTCCTAAAAGTGACAAGCATGCAGGTGTGGGTGAGTGGCCTTCAACCACAACCAAACACCTTTCACATTATGATGAATGGCTGCATCCATACAACCGTGCATTCTAATAGACTTCAATGGGCTGCCTGCATGCAGCACCTTGTAGAGAAAAAAATGCCCTGGTCACACTATACAGGCAACTTTTGTCCCACTTGCCCCTCCCTATTGGAATGTAAGCTCTCAGGAGCAGGGGCCAGGGCCAGGGACAACCATACACAGAGAAAAAATTAGCACGTCTATGCACACAGGAGTGATGAGTATTTACGTAAGGCCACCTGTACAAATCAGTGAAGGGCTGTGGCTGTATGCTGGTAACTGTACATCTGAGTGTTTAGAGATGGACAAGCAGCTCTGAATGTAAACTGTTTGTGCCCAGGGGTGCACATTTGTCCCTGTATGCAAGTGAACATTAGGATGTGTGGTTACCAGCGTACAGCCGCAGCCTGTCATTGATTTTACAGGCTGAGATATGCATGTTTTTCACCATGTATGGCTTTCTGCTCCTTACTCTAAAATACAGAAGACTATGACACGGTGCTTATATACATTTATGTGCAACTTTGTTTCTGTCCAAAGTATGATTTTTAGAGCTCTAATTATCTGTTGCTTTTTACAGGGGAAATACATTGTTTGCTTTGATCCCCTTGATGGTTCATCCAACATTGACTGCTTAGCATCAATTGGGACAATATTTGCTATTTACCGAAAGGTAAGTCTATGTGTTTTGTGTTACACTCAATGTGGGTCCTATACATTCTAGTGGACTGTACAATGAGACCTCACTTGTGACTCAAAACTACCAGAAACAGCCATACATTGCAGGTTTAATTTTGCCTCGGAAAATGTCAAGAGGTATTGTAGTGTGGGTTCTATACATTCTAGTGGACTGTAGAATAAGACCTCACTTGTGACTTAAAACTATAAGAAACACTTATGCATTGCAGGTTTAATTTTGCCTCGGAAAATGTCAAGAAGTACTGTAGTGTGGGCCCTATACATTCTAGTGGACTGTAGACTGAGACCTCACTTGCGACTCAAAACTACCAGAAACAACCATACATTGCAGGTTTAATTTTGCCTCGGAAAATGTCAAGAAGTACTGTAGTGTGGGCCCCATACATTCTAGTGGACTGTAGACTGAGACTACACTTGTGACTCAAAACTACCAGAAACACCTATACATTGCAGGTTTAATTTTGCCTCGGAAAATGTCAAGAAGTACTGTAGTGTGGGCCCTATACATTCTAGTGGACTGTAGACTGAGACCTCACTTGCGACTCAAAACTACCAGAAACACCATACATTGCAGGTTTAATTTTGCCTCGGAAAATGTCAAGAAGTACTGTAGTGTGGGCCCTATACATTCTAGTGGACTGTAGACTGAGACTACACTTTGTGACTCAAAACTACCAGAAACACCTATACATTGCAGGTTTAATTTTGCCTCGGAAAATGTCAAGAAGTACTGTAGTGTGGGTCCTATACATTCTAGTGGACTGTAGACTGAGACCTCACTTGCGACTCAAAACTACCAGAAACACCTATACATTGCAGGTTTATTTTTGCCTCGGAAAATGTCAAGAAGTACTGTAGTGTGGGCCCTATTTATTCTAGTGGACTGTAGAATGAGACCTCACTTGTGACTCAAAACTACCAGAAACAGCCATACATTGCAGGTTTAATTTTGCCTCGGAAAATGTCAAGAAGTACTGTAGTGTGGGCCCTATATATTCTAGTGGACTGTAGACTGAGACTACACTTGCGACTCAAAACTACCAGAAACAGCTATACATTGCAGGTTTAATTTTGCCTCGGAAAATGTCAAGAAGTACTGTAGTGTGAGCCCTATACATTCTAGTGGACTGTAGACTGAGACTTCACTTGCGACTCAAAACTACCAGAAACAGCCATACATTGCAGGTTTAATTTTGCCTCGGAAAATGTCAAGAAGTACTGCAAATAATACGAACCATATCTAGAGATTTCAATTGGGCAAACCTTTGTCACCCCCAAAAGAAGCTCCTGCTCCATTTTGGGAGACAAGCTTTGCTTGGTGCGGTTTGCTGCGATTGCTGTAGAATCACACCCGTGTTTAGGTGCCATTGAAAATGAACGGCACCTGAACAAGTATGGTGTAATTTGTCAGTTTTGCAGAGCGTTTTGGGATCTCGGGTAGAATTGTGGTGATTCTGCCCACGATACAAAATGCCTAGATGTGAATGGAGCCTTAACCCCTTGGTACCAGTGCTTCCCGGCCCTTTAAGGGTTTCAGAAGTCAGGATGCGGGGCGGGGTTTTAAGGTCATGTGACAGCCATGATTTGGTGTCACGGTGGTCACGATCGGAAAAGGTCCAGATCGAAAGAGGCGATTGGGACCTTTCCATGAGTACTGGACATGTGTACTGGAAGTGCGCAGGGCGCGCACTCTCAGCACATATGTTTTTGTTAATTGCACGCAAATGTGCGGCCGCTCGGCGTTAAGGCCCAGACACCAGGAAGCCGCACATTTGCGTGCGGCCGGCGTGAAGAGGTTAAAGAGGTAATTTGGTCCACACACTGTCCTGCTGTGACCAGCTATGCCACTGTTACAGCCAGTGTGCTGTGCTGTGCAGTCATATTTTCTTCTGATGTCTTCAGGTGCTGGGTTCCTCTTGCAGATTTCGGCAGCTTGATGATGTGCACCAGGCCAGCCCTCCTCTAGCTTCTGCGATTGAAAGTGATGCATCCGGTACTATGTGCCGTACATATCCCAAGAGGCTTCACAGCAATGGAGAGGTCAGACAGAGGGTAGGGCTGACAAAAAAACCCCCATAAATAATAAGGCAAACAGACATTTTTGTTGCCAATTTAGTATGGAAGGGGAAGAAAACCTGGATATTTAGTGCATCCATCAGGTGACGATGAGGATAATAAAGTGGCAAACATTTGTAGTCTTTTTTGTGGATGTTGTACAAGGTTCCGGTCATGTTTTAGAGCAAAACTGGAAAACAGCACTTGACCAAGAGAAAGGAAGCATGCCTTCACTGAATTCATTGTTCATCAGGAGGCAAAAACATACTGTTCTGGCCATAATGAAAATCTTACTAATTATGTGTTTTAAAATAACTGACAATGGAACCTTTCATCTCTAGGGCCGGGGGCCCGTACATATATGGCCACCATTATCGTGTTGTTAACATAGTAACCAAACTGGTAACATAGAATGAAAAGACTCCACAGATCTGTCTGTTGTTTTTGTGGAGGTCGGTTTAGCTGCAATGTGACATATACGTTAGACCATGTTGAAGCCAGTGCTCCTTGTGTTCTGTGTACTTTGAGGGGGATGGGTAGTCTTTGGTGCATCTGCTACTCTTGCTGGTTTTTTTTAAACTAAATTCTGTGTAGAGACAAGCAGTTGGGCAGTAGAAAGGCTAACAATGATAAGGCCTTAACAAACTGAATCAATTTGTAGCAGTCAGAATGATAAAAATGATTGCTGGTTGGTTGTTAAGGGTCCCTGGACTGTGTACATTGCTCCATACCTTGCTAAATAAACAGAAGGTATCTTGGTGATCTCACCAGCTTATTTTTAGAGGAAACAAAACCCAGCTTTGAGTATGGATGACTCCTCACCCCACCTCTTTCCCAGTATGTGCTTTAAGCTGGCCACACAATTGTAGAAATTGATTTCAAAACATTCATTTTAACAACATTTGTTCAATTTTCTAATGGTTAGTGGGGTCTAATTGAAGTTCATTTTTCATCTGCAGTGATGACAACATTTGTAGGAGCAGGCCTTTAGATTGTAAGCTCCTTGAGGGCAGGGATTGATGTGAATGTACAATATATGTAAAGTGCTGCATAAATTGATGGCACTATACAAGTACCTGTAATAAATAAATAAATAAATAATAATGAATGTGAATGTGGTTTTCATTCAAGAGAGTCCATTCACTCCAACTTCAAATGTTAAAACCAAGCTTTTTTTGAAGTACCTTTGAACAACATTTGTCAAGTAATCGAATGTAATGATGAAATTTTCATTTTGAAACCCTATTAGCCAGCTTTACAGTGTCAGTGAAAAGAATTATATTCAATATATTTTTCTCTGTAGAAAAGTAAAAAAAAGACAACAAATGAACAAAGTAGTATATTATTATTATTATTATTACACAGGATTTATATAGCGCCAACAGTTTGCGCAGCGCTTTACAAAATGAAAGTAATAACATAAGACATTTAACAAGGTTTATACCAGGAAAATAAAGTGATCTATTTAAAAGCATGTAGATTCTTAAAAAGTGTAAAATTAATTACATATGTACAATTTTGTTCTCAACACCTATAGGCATGCACAAGGGCAGGGGTGGACTAACCATTTGGAAACTTGGGCACTGCCTGAGGGCCCGGGGTCAGTAGGGGGCCCCATGAGATGCCCCTGGTACCTTTTTCATAGGCTTTTTTGAGTTTGGGCAAGGACAAAGCTGCGTAAATTGATGGCGCTATATAAGATCCTGTAATAAATAAATAAAATAAAAGTGGTGTTTTCTCTGCCAATGTGCATGAGGCTTTATAGTGAAATATATATTTGTTAAAATTAAATTATGATTTGACCCTTGTACAGTACCGTGACTGGGAATGCCTCATAGGCACTGTTTTGTATTCTAACTTTGAAACTGAAAAAAAAGAATTTTCCAAAAATATATATAATTTTTGTTCTAATTACCAGAAGTAAGTTACATGCATACACTCAAGTTTATGCTTGTCTCTGAACACAGGTGTGGGGCATTTTTTTATGCCCCTAAATGTTGCTCTAAAATACAGATCTAAACATTACAATGTGCATGAACACATTGGCTAATATAGAACTGAGTTCAGAGGCAAAATTTAAAAGAAAATTGGTAAATGTGTATGTATGAATGTGAGGTAGGGACCTTAGCTTGTATGCTCCTCGAGGATTAGGGACCGATATAAGGTACTGTATATGTAAAGGCGCTGCGTAAATTGACGGTGCTATATAAGTACCTGTAATAAATAAATAAAGCCCTCCTAACCCTCTTGTATTGAACTGTATTGTTGCTGTATTGTCTCCCATTATATTGTAAAGCGCTGAGCAAACTGATGGCGCTATATAAATCCTGTATAATAATAATAATAATAAAAAAACAAAAGTGGTGTTTTCTCTGCCCATGTGCATGGGGCTTTATAGTGAAATATATATTTGTTAAAATCAAATTATGATTTGACCCTTGTACAGTACCAAGACTGGGAATGCCCAATAGGCTCTGTTTTGTATGCTAACCTTGAAACTGAAAAAAAAAGAATTTTCCCAAAAAAAAAATTTTTTGTTCTAGTTTACCAGAAGTAAGTTACATGCATATGCACAAGTTTATGCTGGTCTCTGAATACAGGTTTAGGCTATTTTTTATGCCCCTAAATGTTGCTCTAAAATATGGATCTAAACATTACAATGTGCATGAACACATTGGCTAATATAGAGCTGCGTTCAGAAGCAAAAAATAAATAAATGTGTATGTATGAATCTGAGGTAGGGACCTTAGATTGTACACTCCTCAAGGATTAGGGACCGATGTAATGTACTGTATATGTAAAAGCTCTGCATAAATTGACGGCGCTATGTAAGTACCTGTAATAAATAAATAAAAAAAGTGGTGTTTTCTCTGTGGCTTTATAGTGAAATATATATTTGTAACAATCAAAATGAACACA